ACCTCGCTGCAGTCATGGAATATCTGGCCGCCGAGTTCTCGAGTTAGCCGGCACTGCGGCTCGCGACAACAAGAAGACCAGAATAATTCCGCGTCATTTGCAACTGGCCATCCGCAATGACGAGGAACTCAACAACTGTTATCGGGTGTTACGATTGCTCAGGCGGTGTATTGCCGAACATACAAGCTGTGCTTTTTGCCAAAGAAGCAGAAAAGAAAGCTTAAATTTCTTTTATTGTCGCAAATTGACATAAAACCGTCCTTCTCAGGACGAACAACTTTTTCAAAAAATGAACATATTTATTTTACTATTTATTTATTATTTTACTATTTTTTATAAATACTATTTAATTTACTATCAATACTCATTTTAATTTATTTTAATTTTTTTATCATAACATTCGGTATATAATTCAATTGATTTTAGATATTTTTATTAATAAATATAAATAACAACATTTTTGTGAATGAATCAAAGAATATTTAAGTTTATAAATGTACGAAATAATAACTTTATTTATTAGTTACGTTGTTATAAATCATTTAAAATGATATAAAAAAATCTATATAAGTATATTAATTTTTGTAGTGATTTCAACATCAAATAAATAATTCTTGTTTTATTATCGAATATTAGCACATTTATATGTTATTATGTTATCAATATTATTGAATTTCACTAATATCGATTATAGAATTTGTATATTTAAAAAAAAAATTGTAGGGTTTGTTAATGATTTGATTTTTATAACATTCGCAATTCAGGCTAAAATCTCGCATGTTTTCTGACCCTCGAGCAAACGGTTATTCACGGTCGTCGTGTTTAGGAACTGCCGCTGTATAGTGGCCTAAATGTTTCAGCAAGCATTTACGCTAGATATCAATGTCAATACCATAATACCTTATAGCATTTGTTAGTCCCGACGAGAAGAATAAAAAATAATAATTATTCATAAAGAAAATAATATGTTATAGTGAATTTTGACGCGTGTTTTTTAAAAAGGGGCGTGGCTTAGTGATCGTGGAAAGTTTTACTAATAATTATCGTACAAAATTTATTAATAATCATAAATAAATGTACAAAATAATAACTTTATTTATTAGTTACGTTGTTATAAAACATTTAAAATAAATATAAAAAAAATCTATATAAGTATATTAATTTTTGTAGTGATTTTAAAACCAAATAAATAATTCTTGTTTTATTATCAAATATTAACACATTTATATGTTATTATGTTATCAATTATTATTGAATTTCACTAATATCGATTATAGAATTTGTATATTTAAAAAAAAAATTGTAGGGTTTGTTAATGATTTGATTTTTATAACATTCGCAATTCAGGCTAAAATCTCGCATGTTTTCTGACCCTCGAACGAGCGGTTATTCACGGTCGTCGTGTTTAGGAACTTACGCTGTATAGTGGCCTAAATGTTTCAACAAACATTTACGCTAGATATCAATGTCAATATCATAATACCTTATAGCATTTTGTTAGTCTCGACAAGGAGAATAAAATAATGATTATGCATAAACAAAATAATAATATTATAGTTAATTTTGACGCGTGTTTTTAAAAAAGGGCGTGGCTTAGTGATCGTGGAAAGATTTACTAATAATATCGTACAAAATTTATTAATAATCATAAATAAATGAATTGTTATAAAATTATAATAGTATTATTATAAAGTTATAATGAATTATTATGAAATTTTACTATTGTCGAATATAATTTTGTATATTTAGGTATTATTTACATATTTCCTTAAAATTTAAGAAAAATTAGATAATCTCGAAAAAATTATATGAACACCATAACGATTTATATATCATTTTATTCGTGATTTTATTCTGCATCTTTCGTACGAACAAAGTTTTTTCGTATCTTTTACTGTTTAGCTAGTAGAGAGCAATCTGTGTGATTGATCACTTATTGAAATGCAAATTACATTTAGATGCAGCAATTATTGACAATATTTCTATATTTTCATAAAGAAACCATATAAATTATAATACATTGTTAAAATTCGTATGGTTCTCCAGTCATTCAATTCTAATAACAATCACCATTTAGGCTAAAATCTTGCATGTTTTCTGACCCTCGAACAAACGGTTATTCAGGTCAGCGTGTTTAGATATAGCAGAGAGCCGCATATTCAGTTCAGCAAGCATTCAAGAATAAAAGAATAAAATAATATTTATTAATATCAACTAATATATAATCTTTTCTCGGCATGAATATAAGATATTATTATTTTATTCTATACAATTGAATTAAAAAAAAAAAAACATAAATATTATATTTTATTATTAATGACTAAATTATTATACATTCGATTTATTTTAATAAAAATAATATGATAGAATATTATGATTTTACAGAATAACAGTTTGTGAATTTTTTGACTCAAGTTATTTCAAGAAACAACAGTACAATTGTTTACTGTTTTGTATTTTATCGTTCTTTTGAAAACTACGAATGAAATATTAATTATAACGATAATATTATTTTATTAGATACTATGCAAAAAGAGAATAGAGCACACTTCTTGAACTTGAATGCACGACGCGACATAATGTTTTACACAAATGATTCTAACCGAATTTTATGCGTTGGTGTATTGATAGTGTATTACATCGTAAATATAATTAATTATTTCATACAAATAATATTTATTTTTAATAAAATATTATATTCGTTATTTAATCAAATCGTTTATATTAGCTATTGTTCAGTATAGATTCATAGAGTACTCAAATGAATGTTCAATGACAGTTTATGAACAATTATGATACTATTTATGATAAAAATTTACAAAAACTGTTTCTAGGATATTAAGTATAATTACATCGCATCAAAATATAACATATCTCAATGCTCATAAAAATGCGATAACGATTTTGTTGAAACGCACTATTGAGTGCAGAAGTTATTTGAATATAATTAGCGATATTTTAGAAAAACTAACCGTTGAAATAAATCATGCTTTTGATGATATGTTGGGGATGAATTTGGCTATCATGTAAATCCATTGTTTTATGCGAATTATTTAGAATAAAAGCGCTGGATTTAATTTTTTACAAATAATTTACATTTTTGTAAAATTTTCAAATATTATTGTTTTCTCCTCGGTCCTACACTTTTCGAATATAGTTTTTGGCCACGCCCCTAACATATTTAACCCAATCACGTGTTAGATTTACATTTTACCTACGATTTTTTACTATAATGTCAGATAACGCTTTATCTACGTCGCGCCGGCGGCAACCGCTGCGCCAGCGACAGCATCGCCGAAAAAGGGCAAGACTGCGGCTGTTAAAAAACCGCGAGTGAAGCCGTCCCATCCTCCTACATCTGAAATGGTAAACAACGCTATTAAAAGTCTGAAAGAACGCGGCGGATCGTCGCTGCAGGCGATTAAGAAATATATGTCGGCCAATTATAAAATCGACGCCGAGAAAATGTCAACGTTCATTAAAAAGTATTTAAAGTCAGCTGTTCAAGCGGGCACACTGATTCAAACAAAGGCAAAGGTGCTTCGGGTTCGTTCAAACTTGCCGCGAACGCTAAACAGAGCGGCGGCGAAAGCGGTGTTTCGGCGGCTGGAAAAGCCAGGACCGCTAAGACGCCAGCGGCAAAAGCAAAATCGAAGACAGCAAAGTCGAAGGGCGCCGCCAAACCTGCTTCGTCCCCTAAAAAGAAGTCTGCATCCGCAGCGGGCACATTAAAAAAGTCGTCGGCGAAACCTAAGACGACAGTCGATAAGAAGAAGACCATTCAGGGTAAGTCGACGAAAGCCTCATCGGCCAAGGCAACGAGCAAAACGAAGAAAACCGTCAAGACCGCAGCCGCAAAGAAACCTAAATCGCCAAAGAAGACATCAAAAGTAGCCAAACCTTTGAAAAAAGCGTCACCGAAAAAGAAGTGAAAACATTTCATTATCTTTTTACACAACAGCAAACGAAAATGTTTGCACAAAGTCCTTTTCAGGACTAACAATAAATTTTTATCAAAGAACATTATTATTTTACTTATATATATCTTATCATCTTATATTATAGCCTTTTCGTGGACTTCGGAAAAATTTTAATAAAATATTTGTAACAGGAGCGCAGCAACGCTCGCTGTGTTCCTCGCCGCCGTGTTGTGTCATTGACGAAATTTAAAAGTCAAAGTCTTTTCAATTTTCAATTTCGTCTTTGGTAGGGAGTTGTTCAATATCAATCGCTGAATTTTATTTATTTATTTATTATTTTTTTTAAATAATTTATATGAATAAATTATCTTAATCAAATGAAATATAATCAATAATTTATTAATAAAAGTTTTATATATCACTTTAAATAAATCAACTATACATAGAACGGCAACTCTCATAATAATTAAATTCATAATTTTTCTAATTTTTTTTTATATAAATAATAAGTAAATGGAAATTAATTAATGAAATAAATATAATCATTAATAATTTATGAAGTTTCAATCTTTTTTTCATATCGTATTCGAAAAAGAAATTTATATAACTTTAAATAACTATATATGAAATTAAAAATATACAATAAAAAAAAATATTTATATATATATAAATATATATAAATAATATATATATATAATTTCTATCATCAGAACGGCAACTCGCCCATATTAATTAAATTTAGAATTTTTTAAAGAAGCTTTCAGAAATTCATGACGAATTTTACAAATTCAACTATAATATTTTTTAAACTTAACACACAACAACACTATTCAACAAGTCAAATCATGTGTGTTGTCAATAATTTCAATTAAAAAAAAAAATCAATAAAAATTTCTAACGTATCGATGGAATAATTCTGCAAAATAAAATAATTTGAAAAATAATAAAAGTTCTTTTAATTGATCATTTTGGTGGTCCTGAAAAGGACCGATTTGTTTTATAGGACGACAGGCGTCTAAGCGCGTTCTCCTCGAATACGCCGAGCTAGTTGAATATCCTTGGGCATGATGGTTACGCGCTTGGCGTGGATCGCGCACAAGTTTGTATCTTCGAACAGGCCAACCAAATAGGCCTCGCTAGCTTCCTGCAATGCCATGACGGCGGAGCTCTGAAAACGCAGATCGGTCTTGAAGTCCTGAGCGATCTCGCGCACTAGACGTTGGAACGGCAACTTTCGTATGAGAAGCTCGGTGCTCTTCTGGTAACGACGGATCTCACGCAGAGCTACGGTGCCAGGCCGATAACGATGCGGCTTCTTCACACCGCCGGTCGCCGGCGCGCTCTTGCGAGCCGCTTTCGTTGCAAGCTGCTTACGGGGCGCCTTGCCACCGGTGGACTTGCGAGCTGTCTGCTTCGTACGGGCCATTATAACTCCTAGATTTCGTTTCGAGAACCTTCTCGTTTGACGATCGTTTTGATACTGACGCGTCCGGCTCGAATATTATGATCAAAATACATTACGAATGTCCGATGCTGTGCTCGGCTGTCATTGGTCGGCGCCGAATGCTCGCATAGCTATGATGGGCGTGGCCTAGCGAGCTCAAACTTTTCAATAATTTCGCTCGTCGGAATTCAGTCGTTATTCAGACTTCGAGCTGTTAACATCAATTTGTAAATTTATCCCGACTGCGATATATTGAAAAATGACCGGCCGTGGCAAAGGTGGTAAGGGACTCGGAAAGGGTGGCGCTAAGCGACACAGGAAAGTTCTTCGCGATAATATCCAAGGTATTACAAAGCCGGCTATACGTCGTCTTGCTCGCCGTGGCGGCGTCAAGCGTATCTCGGTCTAATCTACGAAGAGACCCGCGGTGTTCTGAAAGTGTTTCTCGAGAACGTTATCCGCGATGCAGTCACATACACCGAGCACGCCAAGAGGAAGACCGTAACCGCTATGGATGTCGTATATGCGCTCAAACGTCAGGGTCGTACACTGTACGGTTTCGGCGGTTAAATTGATCAACGGACGCAGTCATTTCTTATAAATACAAAACAAAAAAGAGCCCTTTAAGGGCTGTCAAATATAATTAAAAGAACAAGTAATATATTTTACAATTTACGTACAGGCTTTATTTGATTTTATATGAAATTTGTTTATTTTCTTGCAGAATAACTTGCTTTGGTAATATTATTGATAATATTATCAAATTGGAAAGCCCTTCGAATATGTTTAAAGAAAGTATTAATTAATATATATTTTACTATTTTTTCGTATTGACTTTTTATATGCAATTGATTTCTTTTCTTACATGGGGGGGGCTTCAATTAATAGAAAATAGAGTATACTTTTAGTATTAGTATACTTTACAGTTAAGGGCTTCGAAAAGGGCTCTGAATTGAAGGAGCTCAATTAAATGAATGAATTTATTAAATTTTGCATATTATTTAAATTTATATAATATGTAATAATATATTTTTATATATTTAAATAATAAAATTTTTAAAATATTTACGACAATAATTTTATTTTTACGAAAATATTTAAATTGCGATTTTTTTTAATATAAAATATTTTATAATAAATTAAAATAAACTTAAACTTATTAACTAAATTTGAAAAAACTAAAGTTTTAAATTGAATTGAATATTCAATCATTAATTTTTATCATATTGAAAATATATAGAAATTGAACATTATTTATAATATAAATTAATAATAACGATCTCTAATAGAAATCTGATCAAAATTTATTGAAAATCCTAATAAAATATCATTAGTGTCAGGTTATTTTATTTTATCTATAAAACCAATGTAAAAATTATAAAGTTCTTTTGTAAAATATTTTGTGGGCCCTGAGAAGGGCCTTTGTTATTGTCGACAGAACATATAAGTGGCATCACAAAATCTTCATCATTTTATTTCGAGCTGGTGTACTTGGTTACGGCCTTAGTACCTTCGCTGACGGCGTGTTTTGGCCACTCGCCTGGTAGCAATAGCCGGACTGCTGTCTGAATTTCCCGACTAGTGATTGTAGAGCGTTTGTTGTAGTGAGCCAAACGCGATGCCTCGGCCGCTATACGCTCGAAGATATCATTCACAAAGCTGTTCATGATGCTCATCGCCTTGCTCGAAATGCCCGTGTCAGGATGGACTTGTTTCAAGACTTTGTAAATATAAATGGCATAGCTCTCCTTGCGCTTACGTTTCTTCTTCTTGTCGCCCTTTGAAATATTTTCTGGGCTTTGCCTGCTTTCTTAGCCGCTTTACCGCTGGTTTTCGGTGGCATGTCTGATGTTTACTAGTACACTGACTGATAAAATGAGTCGTGCCATGATTCTTCTCTCCCTCTTCCTCTTGACCCTCGTGCTTCAGTTTCGTGTAAGGTAAACATATCGTGCTGTGAGTTATTATTTATTGGTGGTATTCCTTGACAATATGTATTACGTTTGTAATACGTGGTATTACTGTCGTCTATTATTCATTTAATTAATATATTCCTGGTTCATAAAAACCATTTCTAATATTTTCGGTTTGTTCATATTTCTCAAACTTCTGAAGTTTAGAAGTTTGGGAGTAATCTTTTGTCTGTCCAGTAGTTTTTCCTTGTGAATTTGCCTAGGTCTGTAATATTTTGGTTTTTATGATTATTTATTGCCATATAAAACTTCTTCGTGATGGTAGCAATAAACTCTTTGATGTAAGGTATTTTTGCTTCTTCATGAAGTGCTTATTAGTAATAAATTTTATATTTTGTTGTCTGTTTTTGCCTGTTATCAGTCTAAGGCATTTATTCTTCTGGTCCTTTGTAGTTTTTGGTAGTTGTATTTACAAGTGTTTGTCCATGCCGGCCCTGCATATGTCAATATAGGTCTTATCATTAGTAGATAGAGTAGCCTTTTGTTTTGCTTGTTTAGGTAGCTGCTGTTGTTGAGAAGACAGTGCAGTCTATTTATCGCTGCAGACGCTTGATTATTTCTGTATTTTTGTGTGTTCTTTGAACGATAATTTTTTGTCAAAGATAACACCTAATATTTGACTGTATTAGCCCATGGGATTTTGTCCGCTCCAATTTGTAGGGTTTTTCTTTGTGTCAATGGTTTGTTTTTGTTTGTTAGTGAAAGTATGGCTTCTGTTTTTTGCGTATTCAGTTTTAGTTTCCATGTGTCTAGGTAGTGGTCGATTTGTAATAAGTGTTCTTGTAGTTTCTTTGTTAGAATTTCGATTTAGCACTTGCAGAAAAATTGCTGTGTCGTCTGCGTATTGCAGGATTTGGGTGTTTTTTGTGGGTAGGTATATCATGCATGTATATGTTAAAAAGTAGTGGTGCAAGAATAGATCCTTGTGGTAAGCCTGCTGCAATTGCTTTTTTGTCTGACAATTCGTTTTTGACACACACTCTAAAGGTTCTGTTCTTAAGATAGGCCTTATGATGTTGATTAGATATCTTGGTAGCTCTATTTTTTGCAGCTTGTATAGTAGTCCATTATGCCATACAGTGTCGAAAGCTTTCTGTATATCTAAGCTTACTAAGCCTGTATGTTTCTTCATGTTCATAGCGTGGATGTTTTTTCTGTAAGTATTTTATGGGATGTTGGGTTGCGTGTCCTGACCTAAATCCATATTGGTGTTTTGGAAGAACGTTTTTCTTCTTTATGTGATATAATATTGTTTTTGTATTATTTCTCTGCCAGTTTTCCCATAGTCGGTAGTAAGCTAATAGGTCTGTAATTTTGTGGAAATGTGTCGCTTTTACCTGGTTTTGGAAAAGGAAGTGTTTTGGCTGCTTTCCATTCTACTGGGTAGTGTTCAAGAGATAGCATGGCGTTTATGATTTTTGTGAAAATGGGTAGATTCTTCAGTACAATATTTTGTATGTTATCGAGTCCATAGGAGCTTTGTAGTTTTTTAATTTTTTGATGTTTTGTTTGACATCTATGGGTCATCTGCAGATAGGTGTATTCAGTTGTTTATTGTGTTGTACGGTTTTTGTTCACTTTGTGGTCGTGTTGTA